AAAAAAAAAAAAAAAAAAAAAAAAAGAACGGGATATGTCCCTCTGCATGCTTTCTTTATGTGCTGTTGTCTTGATTCTGTATAAGAGTTTGAAAAAATATCACTATAACATTGTATATTTTTTAAAGAAGGAAAAGCAAGAATGCAATTTAAATTCCATTTTAATAACTCATTAATCACAACATGAATTTCGTTTTGTGTTTTGCTGTCATTTAAAATTTTTTTTTGCACTTTTAAGTTTTATTAATTAAAATGCCACATTTACAATGGGAACAAGACGTAGGAAGGGTGAAATGGTTTAACTCTAAAGTCTTCCCCAGACTTTTGTCTTATTATTTTGAATTAATCTCAAACCCATATTTGGGAGAGTATTTTTCTAGACTAATATCATTTGAAAAGTAAAATAATATTTGAGGTTATTCTTAGGCAAAGCTTTATCCAAAGCATTTGGATGAAAGTGGCTATCAAGTTTATTCTTTCTGCAGTTAATACAATTCTAGTGTAATTAAATATTTAAAATTTCAGACTATTTCACCATTCACACAGTAAAGGAAGCAAAGCTGATCTTTTCCCAGTTAAATAAAAAACTATTCTCATTTTTATTTACAAACATTTGACTTCTTTGAAACTTTTACTTCTCCCACTGAAATGCTTGCTATAGCCAAATGGACTTGATAAGCATCACAGCATGTATTAGTAAAGAACTGTTAGCCTCTTACCTCTATACCAATGAACTAAATGTGTTGCATTTCAGATAATTTGTGTAACATTTCTCTTTTTTCAGCATTTTGCTTCATCCTAAGTTGTCTGCCTTTAGCTATTCACCTTGTGAACAAGACGGTCACACTCTGTTGCCCAGGCTTTAGTGCAGTAGCATGATTTTAGCTCATGATAGCTTGAACTGGGCTCAAGTGATTCTCCTACCTCAGCCTTCTGAGTAGCTAGGGCTACAGGCACATGAAACCATGTCTGGCTAATTTTACAATTTTATTTTTTGTAGAGACAGGGTCATGAGGTTCTGTGGAATAACAATGTGAAGCTAGCAGTTGGATTCTGGTTGGCACTTTTTGGTCAGTTACTACAGATAGAGTCTGAATTGTGTTGGTCTGAAACAACACCACCCTCTAGTGACATAAAGGCTAATAACATGCTTCATTTTGTTTTAAGAGAATTTCCAAAGGGCCAATGGATGCTTTGCTTAAGGAATCTCTGATTTCTTTCCTAAAGATCTACTTATCAGTACATAACTGTGACACTTTGTTTTCCTTTGAGGTTACAAACTGGCAACATTGTTTAAGAGTCAACAAACCAGGCCGGGCGCGGTGGCTCACGCCTGTAATCCCAGCACTTTGGGAGGCCGAGGCAGGTGGATCATGAGGTCAAGAGATCAAGACCATCCTGGTCAAAATGGTGAAACCCTGTCTCTACTAAAAATACAAAAAATTAGCTGGGCATGGTGGCGCATGCCTGTAATCCCAGCTACTCAGGAGGCTGAGGCAGGAGAATTGCCTGAACCCAGGAGNAACCCAGGAGGCGGAGGTTGCCGTGAGCCGAGATCGTGAAAAAAAAAAAAAAAAAAAAAAAAAAAAAAAAAAAAAAAAAAAAAAAAAAAAAAAAAAAAAAAAAAGTCAACAAATCAGTAGAGGATTAAATTGAAAGATCAGATATTCAATTAAAAAAAATTTTTAAGTACATATTCACCTCTTATATTTTCAATGAAATTCCACCCTGGACATGTTTTAAATTCACAGATTACTTAATTGTACCCCTCTTGTACCTTACAGTGTAAAATGTATAATATATATTAATATTTAGCTAGTGACGATGAATTTATTTTGCTATTTACTTCTATTGGACATCTATTTTAAAATCTTAAATATGGGTACAAAACAAGACTAATAGCTAGTCACATGATCAGCCCTTGATTGCCTCACTATGGATGTAAAATATCTGAAAGTCTTTCTCCACGGAGCCAACCAGTAATTTTAGTTTATATTTTAGTAATTCATTCATTCATTAACTATTCATTGAGCACCCAATCTATGTCAGACACTGCTACAGTCATTAGGGATGAAAAACAATATATAACAGTCTCTACATTTATGGAGTTTATATTTTAGTGCAAAATTATTGATTTTAAGTGCCAAATAACCAAAGAAAAAACACCGATCCCATGGCTTTTGTCTTCTCAGAATGATTGTCATGGAAGTACAATGCAAGGTAGATTTAACATTTAAACATCAATCAATATAATTACTGTATCAACAAAATAAAAGCAATGCTTAGACGTCTTTGCTAAATCAAATATCTGGATATACTCGAGTCTCTTGCTATGATTGCCTTTATCCTGTCTTTTCTTCCTATTCTTTACATGCCTAATAATTTTTGATTGAAAACTGGACATTGTAATGTATTCTAATGACTCTGATTCTGCAGCTTTTTTGTTTCCCCTGAGTACTATTGATTTTATGTTTGTTTGTTCTGTTTGACAGCTAACTTTTCCGGATTCAAACTGCCAATATTGCCTCCCCTGGCACATGCAGCTGTTGATATCTCTGCTTTATTCTCACAGTTTTCCATGGCTTCTCTTTTAGCTTGGCTCCCTATAGACTCATTTCCCTATGCCTCTTAATTTGCTGGTCAGTTAGTGATGGAGATCACCTTCCGTGTAAATTCCTTGATTCTAGGGATTCTCCTCTTATTTCCAGCTGTGCTGACAGCTTAAGGCCATTCCCTGACATTTCAAGCTTTGAAGCTTCACCTTTCTGCTACTCAAGCTACATATAGCACAGCTGGTAATACATCCACTTAAGTAAAGCATCGAAGTAGGTGCATTCTTGAATAGCTATCTTTAAGACTAGATTTCTATCTGGACTTCTCTCTAGTGAATGGGATTAGCTGCTCTTGTAAAAGGGCTTGACAGAGGGAGTTCGGTCTCTTTCTTGTCATCCTGACATGTGAAGACAGGGCAAGAAGGCCTGCACCAGAGACCAGATGATGGCACCTTGCTCCCGGACATCCCCAACCTCCGAAACTTTGAGAAATAAACTTCTATTCTTTATAAATTACCCAGTCATGGTATTGTTTATAGCAGCACAAAACAAACTAAGGCACTGATGTTTAGATCAATAAAATAATTATAAAGAGCATCATATATACACATATGTGTGAGAGAGATACATAGAGCTATGTGTACATATGCATACATTTATATTCAACAGGTTTTTGTTCAAAGTGCTAAGGTGATTCAAAACTAAAGACTTTTCAACAAGTGGTGCTGGAAAAACTAGTTATCTGAATGGATATAAAAATGAACATAGACTGTACACCACAAAACGATATAGATAATAGACTTAAATGTACTTGTTAAGGCCGGGCGTGGTGGCTCACACCTGTAATCCCAGCACTTTGGTAGGCCAAGGAGGGCAGATCACAAGGTCAGGGGATTGAGACCATCCAGGCCAACATGGTGAAACCTCGTCTCTACTAAAATACAAAAAAAATTAGCTGGGCGTGGTGGCACGCGCCTGTAGTCACAGCTACTAGGGAGGCTGAGGCAGGAGAATTACTTGAACATGGGAGGCGGGGGTTGCAGTGAGCCGAGATCGCACCACTGCACCCTAGCCTGGTGCCTGGCAACACAGCAAGACTCTGTCTCAAAAAAAAAAAATGTACCTGTTAAAACTATAAACCTCTTAGATTAAAAGAGGATTTTTCTTTGTGACCTCTTTCCTCCTCTATCATTACCTGAAGTACTCCTACAGCTTTGTTGTTGTATTGAACAACGTGTGATTATCTCTTTTGGTTAGTATGCCCAGAAATTCTATACTTTTCTAATTTTACAATTTTATTTTTTGTAGAGACATGGTCATGCTATGTGGCCCAGGCTGGTCTCAAACTCCTGGCCGCAAGCAATCACACCACCTCAGTTCCACACAGTCCACCACACAGGCCCCCGCCCGATGCCGAGAAATCATTCCCCTTCAGCTTCAAAATCAGGCTCTCCGCTGCGTAACAGTGTGTGGCCTGTGAGCATGACCTGGGAGGCTCTTCCTCAGGCTCTTCCACTTGGCTCTAAGAATAATCAAACAAATTCTTTCTGGATATCTGGGTTACCTGTTTTGCTAAAGAAAACAGTGGTTCAATAACATTCTTGTACATACTGGTATGTGTATTTGTGGAACTCACTTTTACTTAATACATCATTAGAAGTGGACTGTTACATGCTGATGATTTTCAAATTTGTACCTACAGTCTACACTACTTTTGAACTCCAACTTCATACCAAAATATATCTTATATACACTCATGTCCATCTCCACCATCACCACCCTGGTTGAAGTCACCACAATATTTTGCCTAATCTACTGCAATAGATATTTATTTATTTAGAGACAGAGTCTTGCTCTGTCTCCCAGGCTTGAGTGCAGTAGCATGATCTTGGCTCACTGTAACCTCTGTCTCCTGGGTTCAACTGGGCACGTCCGGCTAATTTTTGTTCTTTTAGTAGAGACAGGGTTTCACCATGTTGACCAGGCTGGCCTTGAACTCCTGACCTCAAGTGAGCTGCCTGCCTCAGCCTCCCAAAGGGCTGGGATTACAGGCATGAGCCACCACACCTGGATGCAATAGATTTTTTGGGGGGGGGCGGGGACAGGGTCTCCCTCTGTCACTCAGGCTGGAGTACAGAGGCACGATCTTGGCTCACTGCAGCCTTCACCTCCTGGGTTCAAGTGATTCTTGTGCCTCAGCCTCCCGAGTAGCTGGGACTACAGGCATGTACCACCATGACCTGCTAAGTTTTGTATTTTTAGTAGAGAGGGGGTTTCACCATGTTGCCCAGGCTGGTCTCTAACTCCTGACCTCAAGTGATCCTCCCGCCTCAGGCTCCCAAAATGCTGACATTACAGGCTTGAGCCACAACTGGCCTGCAACAGACTTTTAATTGCCTTGATTTTATAATTTTAAACTATGCTTACTGTAACAAATGAAAGTTTAATGAGCATTTAGATATTTTAAATGTGAATAATCTCTCGATCCTTCTTTAACTTCCAAATTAACCAATATTAACTGGTTGGGCCGTATTCTTTTATGCTTTATCCTATGCTCGTACAAAGATATTTTCACTCATAAAATGTGTTGAAAATGTTTACAACCCAATGGGCCAGATATATTATTATGCTAATATGACTATCAGTGAAGCTAAATAACATCCTCTTCTATTAATTTTATACATTATTGGATTATCATTATGCTATTAATTTGTAGGAACTCTTTGTATAGAGGTACCATCTGTTTCTAATTTTCCTGTCATTTGCTTTTTCACTTTTTGTATCATATTTATTACCATATATAAACAATTTATTTAGGAAAATTATCTTTTTCATTTATGGTTTTGAGTATTCCTGCTTGATTAAGCAAGTCTCTCCTTAATTCCTATATCCAAGTTGCACTTGATAATATTCTTACTTTAACAATCATGTTTTCAATCTAAATAGATGTTAAAATTTGTACTTTTTAGCAAATAGTAATGAAGTGGTTTAACTTCTTTCTTTTTCATGGATTATCACGTAGACAGCTGACGTCATTTATTAAATCATAATTCTCATCTTAATTGAAAACCTATTTCATCATTTACTAAATGACGATTTAGTCCAGTGTCCAGATCTTGGTTTCTAAATACAGTTCTTCTTTAAAAGCAAAACAGGGCTCCTTGGAAACAAATGGCTGATTCTACATCTGTGGTGGAGAAAATACAAGATAAGCCTAGAGCATCTTGTACCGCCAGAAATTAAAGAAGTGTTCAGAAGACAGAAGAATTGGGGGATGTGTCAAAAAGACAAAGAAGCCAACATGAAAAAAAATTCCAATGATCAAAGGTGGAACCATTTGAACAACAAAATATATAAGGTAGTATTGAATAAGCCAAACGAATATACTATACAATGGGAAAAACAGTAACTTGAGTAACTTTACAGTGGAGAAACCTGGCAAACGAAATCTTTATCAACTAATGGTTAATATCGAGAGTGATGTGGTGGATATTATACATGTCCTGATATGGTGTGATGAGAAAAGTCACTCGATTCCTGTAATAATCTTTCCAAAAATCCCAGAATCCCAATCTAGCCGTGAAAATGACAAGCCCAGAATGGGGGTCATTCTACAAGGTATGAGGCCCAGACTCCTCAAGAATATCAAGGTTGTGAAAACAAAATGAGAAACTGACAAATGACAATGGGGAGACAAGTAAATGTAATGTGGCACCCTTGACTGGTTACTGGAATAAAAAGAACCCTAAGTAGAAAAATTGGTGAAATTCAAATATCTCCATTCAGTTAATGATATGCATATATTGGTTTCTTGGTTTTTGCAAATATACTATGGTAAGAAATTAACAATAGAAAAACTAGATGAGAGGTGTAAGGGAGTTAAGTAGCTCTGCAAACTTCCCATAAATTTAAAATTATTCCAAAAATTAAGTTTAAAAAAGATTGCCATAAAGGCCTGGATTTTTTCGATTTGCTTATCTTAGTTTACTAGATTGCTTGTATTTATATATAGGTACTATTATATTGTTTTGAGGCATAAAATTCATATAGCAAAGTGCAAAAATGTTCTTACAAAAATGTTTTTACAAATGTACACACAATTGTAACTACCATCCAGGTGACTACATACAATTCTATCAACCAGAAGGTCCCTTGTGTCCCAACCCAACTAATAATCGCCGTGACCTGAGGTGATCACCATTTTGATTTGAGTCACAATAATTAATGTTGCATTCTTTGAACTTCACATAAACGGAATTAGACTGCGTACCTGTTTGTGTCCTGCATGGTCGACCTCCATCAACGTTCCACATATATTTAAAAATACTGTGCATTATGTTGTTGGATAGATTACTCTTTAGATGTCAATTAAATCAAGTTGGTTTTAAATTCTGTATTATTGCCTACAGCCTGCATCAATTCTGAAAATGTAGAAATCTCTTACTGTGGATCCCTCTATTTTTGTCTTCATTAGTTTTTGCTTTATGTCTTTTGAAGCTTAGTAGGTGTATACATGTTTGAGACTGATAGACTCCATCAACATTAAAGGATCTTTGTTACCTTAATGCTCAAATTTTTCCAAAATAAATAAAACCACTCCAGGTTTCTATTTCTTCAGATCATTTTATCATGGTTTACATTTTCCATATTTTTATTTGTAACCTATTTGTGTCTTTATGTCTCTAGTAAGTTTCTTGTAAGAGCACATAGTCTTGCTTCTTTTACCCAGTGTGACAATGCTGTCTTGGAACTGGGGTGTTTAATCATTACACTTAGTGTGATTATGAGTATGGCTGGATTTCAACTGCTCATTTCCTTTCTCTGGCTTCTTTTGGATCAAGTGTTTATGATTTCACTTTCCTCCCTGCTTTATAGGCTTAACTCTTAGATATGCTTAGGGTTGCTCTGGTATTTTCAGTACCCTTCAAGATGATGTGCCAATCTGTGTACAGCGTAACTTTTCAATAGTGCACTTCCACTTCTCCCCCTGACCTATGTGCTATTGTTGCTGTATATTTTACTTGTATTAAGTTCCATAATTTGTTTTAGTCAATTACCTTCCAAAGAGACTGTTTGTACTTCACATATATTTTCGAAAGATATTTTCACCAAGTACAGAATATCAGACTGGTAGATATTCTCTCAGTACGTTAAAAGGTTGTGCCATCCTCTGGTTACATTGATTCTGACAAATCGAGTGTCATCCTTACAACTGTTCCTCTACACAGTACATTATTTCCCCTCCCTCCCCCCACCACCTTCCCTTTGGTTGCCTTAAGATTTTATCACTTTTTTTCCATCTTCATGTTTCCCATGCTTATGGTAGTTTCCTCAAGGTGTATGATTTCCTTATAGATATACTCAGCTGAAGACTTGAAGAGAAACTTCTACAGATTTCCAGAGACATCTGTGAATCTCTCCCCCTGTATTCTATTGACTTTAGTAGCCTTGTGCTTTCTGCCCACCCCCTTCACCTCAACTCAGGAAGATCGCAGAGGTCCATCCAGGTAACTCCCAGCGATGTGTCCCAGAAATTCTCTCAAGGGAGTAAGCTGGAAGCATTAATAGGACTCACCTTGTTTTCCTTTCTCCAGTACCTCTCCTCCACAGCTTTACATTGATGTACTGAAAAATGCTGCTTGAAACATTTTGTTTAGTTTGTAACAGGTTGAAGGGTAAATCTTGGCCTGAAGAACTATTCTGCTCTATTCTCTGAATTATATTTGATCTGCCATTATTTTCCTGTATTCTTGAAAGCTTAATTGACTTAATTTTCTCTAATGTAGGCTTCCAAAGTCACACTATTCCAAGCACTGCTTTAGCTGAATCTCACAGGTGTTGATAAATTGCATTTTCATTCAAAAAAATCTATTTGTTGACCCATGGGGATGTTTAGTTCCAAATGTTTATTTTTCATTCTCTTATTTCCAAACTGTTCTTATTCTGAAAATACATCTTACAAATATACAATTTGTTTTGTGAATTCATCTTAACCCTGATATCCGGATTAACTGGAGTGCATAATCCACTTATAGGTTTGACAGTTTAACTGGCTTGCTGTTTTATCTCTTAAAATACTAATTTGTATTAATCATTTTCATTATTCCATTTTTCCCCTGTACTTTTTGTTATACCTTTATTATTCTTTTAATGGTTATGGAGATTAAAATATGGTTCCATGATTTATTAGTCTACCTTAAGTAGTAGTTCTCCATTTACTGAGGAATGAATCTCACAAAGGCTCAACGTACCTACTTCCACTTCTTGCGTTGTAACTTTATTTCCACATTTTAAACGCCGTAAAACACTATTGGTCTTTGTCATGCAGTTACCCTAAAATTTAGTGGTTTTGATCATATAAATTTCTAATAACTTTAATTTGCTTGAGCAAGACTTCTTACTACCTTCTTCCCATCCAGTATGCTTCTTTCTGATCTATTCTCCAAGCAGCGGCCAATTTGTTTGTATTAAAACTAGGTCACTTCAAACTGTTTAATATTTTCCAACTGTTCTTTGCATACAATGTAAATTCCCTTATATGGTTCACCAGGCTTGCATGACAGGTCCTCTAACTCTACAATCCTTAGACCATTTTTTCCCAAACCATTTACTGGCTTATCATTTCCAAGAGGAGATTTAGCTCCCCTGGCACTGAACTCTGAGAATTCAGCTACCAAGTATAATTTGCCAGACCCCAAGGTCTTATACTTACTGTCCTATCTAAGAGTAGTATACACCGATCCCTTTTATGTCCTTCACAGTACCAATCAGAATTGTTCTCCTTGCTTCAATCAATGTACCTAACATTAGTTAACTGCCTAGCATGAACTAACAATTCATAAGTATGTTTCAATGTTCATACTGTGAATATTCTAATTTTTCAGATATTCTCAAATTAGCCTCTAAAAGGGCTGGGCTAACTTATCCTCTAATGAAAAAAATTAGATTTTACAAAAATAGATCATACTGATTCAAATAGTCCCAGCAAATATAATCAGAAGGGCACTAAGCAATGATACCAGAATGCAGTGATACCTAAAAAATGAATTTTTAATGTATAATATTAAGTACTAAATATGTCTTTAGAGTCCTTGAACAAGACTTTCTTTTGCACCTACATTAACTATAAACCCTGACATCTGCTTTCCCTCCTACCCTTTAACAACAGATGAAGTCTCCAAATATAGAGGAAACAGTTTAGGTTTGCCAATTTCCAATGGCTTCACCAAAATTGTAGGTTAAACATTTTGTCTCTCTTATTAGTCATCAATGCTTCAAAATGTTTTTCACGGTAAGGTACCTGCCTTAGACTTTATGATATAGAATGCTTTATGGGAGGCCTGAATTTAAACATTTTCATTATCACTAATCTGAGGAAAAAACACAAAACATAACTTTCATTATTCTTTCCTCCTTCTTAGCACTCTTCTATACTAGGGTTTTAGCAGTACCACAGGTACTAGGTGTGCAGCCTGAGAGTATCGATGTAGACTCTACCAGTCACTTCTGGTAAAATTAACTACATTCTCCTTAACATTTCTTTTTTTGCGTGTGATTCTAGGGCATCAATAATAACAAATAGGAGACACAAGTTTGAGTGTGATATGGGGCAACACAATCTTGTAATTCTAATTGCACTATTTACAAAGGTAGAAACATCTCCTATTCTCATGTCACAGTTGCTAATGTCACTTTAAAATTCTTAGGCTCTAATACATTATTCAAATCATAAGAATAGAGATAATTTATTTTCCCATTCTGACACAGGGAAAATACTGCTGAAAAACCAACATTTTTGACAGGTTCACAGTCAACAGCTAGACTAGAGGTAACAGTGTCACTAACAGAGTTAATATGAGGATAGACTGTAATTAACTGGATTTGCTTCATCCAAACTCAACACTTCCATTTTGATTTTGACTTTCAGGTATTTATTTCATTACTTACCACACAAATAGCTCGTAACAGTTAGTGTTATGTATATAAGCCAAAATAAATGTCTTACTTGTGTGGAATAAAATATAAGTTGGCATACTTTAAACAGAAAATTGAGGACAATAAAGTTTATTTACATGTTCTAGAGGTGTCTATCCTCTATTGAAGTACAGCTGGATGGATAACTTCAAAGTTTTTTCGGCTTGTGAAGACATGGCCTTCTTGGACGTAAGAAACAGAAAAAAGCTGGGCATGGTAGCTCACGCCTATAATCCCAGCACTTTGGGAGGCTGGAGGAGGATCACTTAAGGCTAGGATTTTCAGACCAGCCTGGCCAACAGAGTGAGACGCTGTCTCTAAAATAAAGATTAAAAAAAAAAAAAAAAAAGTTTCTTCTGACACAAGTTTAATGACGGTCACAATGGTCTATCTTACAAAGCTTTAACTTCAGAATAAAAACTCCTTTCACAATCAGAATGCTTTCCAGTGAAAAACAGAGCATTTATTATTCTATATCAGTAATGAGGAAAAAATACAACTGATCAAAATCTTGAGAAAGGTAACAGATATTAATTGACCCTCATCTAACACTGAGGGCTTGCTATAATGACACACACTATGCTAAGGGAGAGGGATATTGGCGAAGTTGAAACTCAGGATTTTCACCAAATTCCCATGGAAACTGAAGAGAAACCAGGGATGGCATCCTAGTATTCCGAATTGAGTCATGAAGGCTAAAAAGGAATGGTAGTGGGGTAAGTGCAGGGCATTCCAGGTGTAAGAAACTTGTACTAAGATGAAAGCCTATTACTACTAGTTCAGCATAGCTAGTGTACCTAAGTATGCTAGAATTGGGAGGTGGGAGTAGTGTGTCTTGAAAAAAAATCTGAAACTTTTTACTATACGCAAAAGGATTCTAGTTTAATTCTGAAAGCCATGAAAAGGCACTGAAAGGCTTTAAGCAAAGAAATAACACGAACTAAATTGCTTGTTAAGAACATTCTAGCATTAAAGTGATGAAAACATTAATGCTTGGTGAAACAAATTCACTTAGCAACTACTACTAAAACCCTACTATATGCCAAATGACCATTTAGGAAGAAACGGTAATATCCTAGCCTACAAATGAAAGCAGTGGTAACAGAAGAGTATTGGTTTGAGAATTAAGAAGCGGAATTCTCAGTTCTAAGTAAATCAGATTTTGTTTCGCATAGGAAGGCAAAAAAGGAAATCTAAAAGGATTCTCAAGTTACTGATGACAATGTTTATCAATATGAAATACAACATGAGATACAGGTTTGGTGGATAGAGGGTTTAGAGAATTTAGATACAGTAAAATTGCTTGTTTAACATGGGAAGGGAGATACAGGCCAGGTGTAGTGGCTCACACCTATAATCCTAGCACCTTGGAAGGCCAAGGCAGGAAGATTGCTTGAGTCCAGGAATTCGAGGCCAGCCTGGGCAACACTGCAAGACCCATCTTCATAAAAAATAAAAATAAAGGGAAATACACAGGAGGCAGCTAGATATATGGCTCTAGTGCTCTATAAAAAGTGGGAAATAGGCATCTGAGAACATATACACACATGCACAGATATAGATTTATATATGTATATATATAAATGTCTTCATGTAAAACTTAAATCCTAAGTTTTGCAAAGAGAATAACTTTAGCTCGCCTTTCTTATCTATAAACTTGTCCTTCAAGACTGCTCAGTCAACTCGTTAAAGAGTTTGCCTCTTTATTCAGGCAAAGCTGTTCCTATTTTATGAGAGGCTTTATCTCTAACCCGAAGAACTCTCTATATTCATGGGTTCTATATCCAGTATCCATGGATTCAACAATTGCAAATTAAAAACATTCAAAGGAAAAGAAAAAGCTCCAAAATTCCAAAGACAATACTTGAATTCTCCACAGGGTATTATGCTGAGTTACATACACACACACACACAATGTACGTGTGTGTATATGTATTAAATATCTGTAGACATGGGGAATGGATTAAAAACTGGCAATACTGGCTGTATACTTATGTGCCAAATACTTTATTATTTAGAATTCCTACACTGTCATTTTCATTTTACAGGTGTAACAACTTAGGAATAAAGAATGTCCCAAGTCATTTAGTTACCATGAACTAAAAACTGAAGTCAGGCACTTTGACTCGAGCAGAAGAAATAGACAGCAACCAAGCATCACTGACAATTCTACCACTGCATCACACTCATTAAACTTTAGTTCCCATTACATTTACGTTGCAGGTACTTAGCCTCTGTGATAACCTCACTGATAACAGGACACAGATCTTTAAGGTAGGTGCAAAAATCTCATTGTTCAGTGTTAAACACTTAGGTATTCAAATAATCAGTTTGTAGTCAATATTCACTGCGGTCCAGTTTAATTCCAACAGCATTATTAAAGTTCCCTGTCTTTCTCTGAGGTTTCCCACAGCCATGGTACTTTTAGTTCCCTAAAAACATCAAATCTTAAGTTTTGCAAAGAGAATGACCTTAGCTCGCTTTTCTTATCTATAAACTTGTCCTTCAAGACTGCTCAGTCAACTCGTTAAAGAGTTTGCCTCTTTATTCAGGCAAAGCTGTTCCTATTTTATGAGAGGCTTTATCTCTAACCTGAAGAACAATAGGCTCTCTATATTCATGGGTTCTGTATCCAGTATCCATGGATTCAACAACTGCAAATTACAAATACTCAAAGGAAAAGAAATGCTACAAAATTCCAAAGACAATACTGAATTCTCCACATGGTATTATGCTGATTCTACATGAAGTATCATGTAGCACTGTATTAGGGTTACTCTAGAGATTTAAAGTATATGAGAGGATATACATAGGTTACATGCAAATACCATGTTGTTTTATATAAGGGATTTGAGCATCCTTAAATTTTGCTATCTGTGGGTGATGTTGGAACCAATTACCCACAGGCACTTAAGTACAACTGTATTTTATAAGAGCTTTCTCCCACTAAATTGAGGTTAAGGGGAGGGGCTGTTCTACGCATTTTTTGCTTCAAATTTAGGTATTTTTATTTCTTTGACTAAAGTTGTATCGCTTTCCTCAAAATCTTTTTAGATACACTTTAACCATGCATTGAAGTATTTAGAATTTACTAAGTTATTGTTAACATTTTTCTTATTCCAGCACCTTTCATTTTGCTCAACAAATATTTAGTAACAATTACCAGATGTTTATTTTTTATATCCGTGTGTAATGTTACAACACCCTTATTTAAGCAGCCATGTAGTTCAATGTGGCTGGGAAAAAACAAAACCCATTAAGTGTTTACTACTCACTCTCAGTGACTACAAACTTGACTGTAATACAATCTGAACCCATCCCTCCTCATACTACAATTAACTGTGGAGGCTCCCATTTAATGTTGAAGGCACTCCCTATCACCTTGCCACAGCTCTGCACTCCATTTTTCCACCTATTTGATACTTATCCAACATTCTTCCCTCTCTCTCATCTACTTTCCCTGCGATCAGAGAATAGAGGTTTGTGAAAGGTCACAGAAACCAATCTGAAAGAACTCCCAATGGCCAAAACTGAAACAAACTGAGCAACAAAATAAATAACAAACATAAAATAAACAAATCTGAGTACATATGTAAAACAAATGGAGACAAACCTTTCTTATAGAAAAATTCCAAATACTGTGTCAATACCTAACCCCAAAAGGATGCAGAACTTAATTTCCCCATCTTACTATGATGATGGGCTACACTTAGTATAACTTGATTTGAAAGAATAACAGTAGGTAAAAGGACAAACAGTAACTTCAGTAGTGAATCAGGGCAAACCCTATCTTAACCGAATGATGAAAGTTAACATTCCCAGTGAAGTCACAGGGTTATCATGTACCCTCATGGGAAGTGATGAAAAAAGACACTTTTCCTCTGTGGTGTTCTGTGAAACCCCCATAATCCCAATCTAATCATGAGAAAAACCAGTCAAATACAGAATGCAGTGGTGGACATTCTAGAGGACACCTGGCCAGTACTCACTCTGATTGTAAAACTCATCAAAAATGAGGAAAGAATGAAAAACTGTCATAGAACAGAAGAGGGTATGAAGATATTAGTAGTACAATGTGGTACTCTAGGTTATGAAATATCTTAAGGGGAAAAATGGTAAAATTCAAATAAAATCTGTAATGCAATTAATACTAATACTCCAATGTCGGTTTCGGTTTTGACAAATATACATAACTGGTAATATAAGATACTAATGATCATAGAAGCTTGGTGGGGACTTATGAGAACTGTCTGTACAATCTTTGCAACTTTCCATAAATCAAAAGTCATCCAAATAGTGTTTGTCTAACCTCCCTACCTATAATTGACTGAAATTAGATATTCTCTACAAAATTACCAGACTAAAAAAAATTTGGCCTAGCAATTTCACACTTATTTTCTCAAAGAGATTTGGCTTTTATCAGACATAATACTGAAGTCTGCCATCACGTTTGGGGGTGAATCCCTACTTTGCTATTCCTGTGGCTTCCTTGGGCAAGGCTTTTCCCTGTGCTCTAACCCTCCTTTTCATAAAACAGAAGATATGCAATAGTATATATCCTCACAATATCACAGGGAGAATTAGATAATGTCTGCAAATCTCTCTCACTCACAAACACACAAAACTTTTAGTTAAAACACTCTACTCAAATATCACTCGCAAACACACACACGCAAACACACACACACACACACACACACACGAAACTGTCTTAAAATTAAAACTGTCCACTTTGGGAGGCTGAGATGGGCGGATCCAAAGGTCAGGGGTTCGAGACTAGCTTGACCAACATGGAGAAACCCCATCTCTATGAAAAATACAAAATTAGCCAAGTGTGGTGGCGCATGCCTGTAATCCCAGCTACTCTGGAGGCTGAGGCAGAAGAATCGCTTGAACCGGGGAGCCAGAGGTTGCAGTGAGCCGAGATCACACTATTGCACTCCAGCCTTGGCAACAAGAGCGAAACTCTGTCTCAAAAAAAAAAAAAAAGAGAGAAAAGAAAAAAAATCCAACAAACCCATCTACTCAAATACATACATACACACACCCACACACACACACTTAAAATTTATTTAAATAACATTTAAAAACACTTAACCCTTATGTCAAAAACAGGGAGCAAAGTGGGGAAATTCCCTACTTTCTTACCAACATCCACAATACCAGCTATGTATACCAGATAGAAGGGAGACAAGATGATTTCAAAGACCTAATTTAGCTTGGTAATTGTGCCTAGAGATCTAGTTCTAAACTTGGACATTATTACAAGGTATCATTCAATATTGCTTAGATGAAAGGATTCCAAATAGAAACTTAAGAAAACTTAGCTGTTAAGTGGACTGTTGAGTGCTTTGTATAGGGTGACAGTTGTAAGAGTAATTCAGGAAGCACACTATGATATGCTATTTTACCACATGGAATAAGGGATGTAATTTCTGGCAAGAAGTGTGCAACTAATTTAGGAGCTCTCTATTTAAAAAGAAAAAAAAAGATTAAAATTAAAAATTCTGAGGTTGCAGTGATAATGGCTTCGGAATTTAAAACACCAAACACTCCTATATAAAAGGTAGGTGAATATAAAGAGTGTAAAAAATTAACAAATCAAAGGTAACAAATGAAACTGTAATTAGTTTAAAAATGAACATTAGATCACAGCTTAAAAATCTCTAGTTTATTTCTAAAAAACACCACTTGATGCTTGACTCACAGGCTTTATTTACATTTGTCTACAGTATCGTTTCCTTATGAAATGAACTAGTACAGCTTAGTCAAACCAAATGAAATCATAATCATCAGAATTGTCTATAAACTACTATTAGCTAAATTATAACCTTGCATTTGCTTAGTACAGCCAAAGTTTTAAATACAGAAAGCACAAGAATAAACCAACGGTAACATGTAGAATCTAGATCATCTGGGCAATTTAGAAGGTAGACTTTCAAAAAGTCTGAGGCACAAATACAAGAGAGTAAAAGTTCTTGTGCAACCTACATAAATGCAGCAAAGAAAATTAAGACATAAAAACACGGGAAAGCTCACTGTAAAAATATTATCAAAATATTTCTACATAAGATATTTTGCTTTCATTGTTAGATTAGCTGAAGAGAAAAACATTCACTTTAAAATAAAAAACATTTTTGTTTGGTCTGTCTATGAAATATCTTAAAATGTCATAATTTTTATTTAAATTTCAGCCGACAATGTTATGGGGGAAAAAAAAACAAGAAACAGAAATCAATACCCCATAACAAAAAGCCCCCAAGCACAAGTGTTGATTTTCCTTGATATACTTACCTTGCATTGTCACTGGAAACACTGTTAAGAGAAACCTTTTTATTTTTTAAACCAGAAAACAAATTGAAGCTCATGTGACCAGATTTTGAGAAATAAACTCCGAAAGCATTTTAAGCCATAACTTATTTCAAATGAATAGGAAAAATAATGATTTTTGCTTACATCATGCAGAGATAAGCATTAATTTGTTATTCAGAAGAAAATTATATGCAGTGTGTTTATAGTTAACATTTTGAGGCAAATATTCATTTAAATTCACAATGTCTCCATTGGCCTTTCACCAAAAGAGAAATACACTTAAAAAGCTTACTTCAATTTGCTCATTAACTATGATTCAGCCTTTTCTACCACATTATATTTGATAATTAGATTTTAAAGACTATCACACAAAGCTTCTTAAAATATGGTAAACATTCTGAGATGTCTTTATCAAGCAACCATATCAGCAGAGAAGTGATAAACTGTTGAACTTTCTTTTTTGCCCCAAATTATGTGTCAGAAAGGAAAATAAATACCACTTCTCTCCTTCTAGGCGTCACAAGATACTTTTGCATTAAATGTGGTGGAGCAAAAAAGTAAAGCTGGATAAAAGAGAGACAATGATTCTAAGGCACCCTTAGCATAGGGAATTTCAAAATAGACATTTACAGTTGGCTGCTTTATAACATAGTTTAACTTTTTTTGGTGAGAATCACTTTGACATCCGTTAACAGCACAGTTTGACTTCTTTTCCATAAATACGCTGTTTCCAACTAGTTTCCAGTCTTGCCTCCATGCCCAAAGTTCAGGCAAGCCTAGGTAATCCTGTCTTAGCCAATGGACAGGATGTATTTGAAAATGAGAAAAATGGGTTTAAATTAGGAAGCAAAGTACTTTGTTATAGCTGAAATGGTTTTAAATGGAGCAAATGGTTGTAAATAATGAATGACAGAGCATCTAATTTGGGACATTATGGCTTAAAATGCTATTTACTTTTAACTTCACAAATAAACACAGCTGCATTGTTTTGAAAAGCAATGAAAGGCATGCACCTCTACTAGCAGATTTAGCACTTCTGACCAAGTAAAACACCAACTTCTTTAAAAATATGCTTCATGCACTGTACTGGATTTTTTTAAGATGTAAATTTTAATGCATTATTTCTTTTTTGAACTTGAACGGGAACCAGAATGGGATGATCCAGAAGATGACCTGTGGCATCTGTAAGACACAATGGAGAAAGTAGGCATTCTAGTAAGCTAGAACTGAATTTCAGCATTCATTCTTAAGACTGTGAAAATATACAAAATTCAGTACCATGATGCTAGCAAAAAAATTAAAAACTGAGATAGGAACTTACACACATAAAGTTATCTGATGTTTAGACTTTGGATATGAGCCCCCTTATGATACAAATACAACTTTAAATTTTCTATAATTAAAAAAAGGTATCCTCTTATTTCAAAATATAGCCACCTCTCAATTATTTAAGATACTGAAGAAAAGCCTTGCAAAAATGTGTAAAATTACAGAAAATGCACAACAAAAGCATATAGACTTGGTAATGGAAGTGTGACTAAACCAATCCCTGTGACACGGTGTAGAAAGTGTAAGAAGTCTATATGTAAAAAAAATACAGCAAGGCTTCTGTGTATGATAAAATATACTCATAAATAAGTTTTGGAAATCTAGGTCACACAAGATGACTGTACAATTTGCTATAGGGTTATATTCATGCAGCTAATATGAATAAGTCAATATCAACCTGGGTAAAGTAGTGGTGTTCCGTAGGGGTTGGCCCTGGGCTCAGGGTTGTTTAGTGTTTTCACCAATCACCTGGCTTATGGAATAGAGAACATGTTCATTAAGTTTAGATGACAACAAACTAGGGGGATTATATGTGGCTAAGATAAAAATTTGCAGAAGTGGTAAGAAAGCAACAGAACGAATTCCACTCAAATACAGAGTAATTTTTTTTTTTTTTACAAAGAAACAAAGGCAGAGAAACAAGACTGTGTGTAATCTTAACATCTAAACTCCAAAATGCGAAGAAGCAAAACTAATCATTCTGTACAAGTAGGAATCATGAGATAATCCTACCACTGAACCCAGTAATTATCAGAGTTTACATAATCTTTATTTTCACAAGTTAATAGAATATGAAAAGTTTGCAAAGACTACAAATAATGCCATTAAAATGACTATATAATTGAGAACAAAGAGAAAATTAATGAAACTGAGTAGCCTGTTGCAGAAAAGGTTGGCAGATGACAGTTGCACTCTGCCATTGTTAAACGTGTCAATACGGATAAAGTAACCTAATAAAGGTTTTTTTGAAAAATGATTTGGACTGCAAGATGAAAAATGTATTAGCTACAAGGAATAATTTCCTTATAGATAAAGGGCATGAAGCAATTTGCTGTGGAAATGCATTTACACATATTTAAATGAGGACAGATTCCCAATGATCTGAAAGTTAATTTTTTATTAGATGCTCTAGAATTCCTGACTTTTAGTATTTAAAGAGGCATAAGTACAAAAGTCAACTCATAAATTACTTCAGCATATAGCTTCTGAATTGCAATCTTGAAAGACAGAAATAACCGAGAGTTGGCTATAAAAATTATATATAGAAATAAAAATTTAAACAATAAAATGATCAAAGAATGGTTTGATCTACAATTCTAAACAACCTGATCAAATTACAAAGCATAAACAAAGTAATCTGTTTTTTTGAAGTTGAAAGTTGAAAAGTAGAAAGCTGGAACACAGGAGATAGTAAAAATCTAACCCTTGACTAGGAAGTTTATCTATTAAACACACTTAAGAACACCCATTCTTATTTCTACAGAAACCCAAACCTTTCGGGTGACCGTGATCTTGTTCGTCTTTTTTTGCGATCACCAGATGAAGAAGATCTAGAACGACTTCTCTTTCTGTTCCTCTCAGGAGAAGATGATGAACTTGAATAAGATCTTTTTCGTGGGGAAGAAGAGCCCCTGTGGGACCTGGAGCTGGATCTTCATCGATTGAGAAACAAATCAAACATTTCATTAAAAGAAGAAATAAGGAAGACTATTTAGTTTAATCAGATAGCTCCAAAAATAACAGGATTTATAAAAACTATGAAAATTTTATAAGGAAGAATACTTACTGCTTACTCAACAGAAGACTTCTGGATCAACCAGGAAAACATTCTACTTAGGTATATTATTTTATAATTTCATCTCTTTAAAATTCTATTATATGTAATTAAAACCCTGCTTATATCAACATAGAATTTAAGACTTGTTTTAAGGCTTCCCAAAGTATACACAAATATTAGAGTATTATAAAATCGGCAGGTAAATGCATTAACAGGACTTTATGTTTAGAAACTACATCCTTCATCCTTCCATTTAAGGAGAAAATATGTATCATATATTACTTCCTGAGGAAAATAAACATAACCACTTCCTGAGGAAAATAAACATAATTCCATGTGGAATTACACAACTCATTAGTTAAGCTGTTACAGAAAAACCAGGTACATGGGACAGAAACAAGACTAGTAAATGTACCAAACTGCCAAATCTTCAAAAAGAAATAAAAAGTAACTTTAAAATGATTTATATTTACAATGCTTATTTTTATGAAAACCCACTTTTTATGAAGTATGAAGTGTTGACATTCACATGCTTCAGGTAGAAGTAAATGTGCAAATGTTTAAGTACAAATTTTTTTTCTTCACTTGTGTATTTTGGTTGAAGGAATTTAGCTCAAACTTCCCAAAAAATTCACCTTTGGGCTTAAAATAAAACCAGAAAGCCCAAAAGGAGAATTCTTTGGAAAGTTACAAGCAATGAAAAAATGTTTGGGAAGTATATGAAGGCTGTTCTGTAAACTTTAATTATAATGGTTCCCAAAGGGAATACCAGAACTTAAGACCAGAACTTAAGGATTTTTACCTATAAAGCACTGAAATATTGATACTAAATAATGGTAATAAAAAATATGTTTGCTCTCTACTTCTATTTTTTTTTTTTTTTTTAGACAGGGTCTTGCTCTGTTGCCCAGGCTGCACTGCAGTAGCATAAGCATGGCTCACTGCACCCTCCATCTCCAGAGCACAGTGATCCTTCCACCTTAGCCTACAGGAACACACCACCATGCCTGGCTTGTTGTTTTAATTTTTATTTTTAGTAGAGGTGAGGTCTCACTATGTTGACCAAGCTTGTCTCGAACTCCTGTGCTCAAACAGCCCTCCTACCTTGGCCTCCCAAGGTGTTGGGATTACAGGCGGGTGCCACTGAGCCTGGCCTTGTTATCTACTTCTTATTGGCTTATAAGGCAAATGTGCACACCATTGTCTTCTCCTTAATGTGTTTACACTGTGGTAGCCCTCTAATGCTAAATTTCATTCAAAGCAGTAAATTTACTAAAAGTGCCACTGTTAGATTTCAATGTGAATTTCCACAAACATGGAATTTCAGTCATTTTGTTATTTTTATTTTAGATACCTTTAGTAGGTCATCATAAATTAACTTAAAAACAAAGACAGCATATTTTGACTAAATACAAAAAAGTTTCCTGAGATTCTTTCAAATTATGTTTCCCTCTATAGATGTGACTACATGCAATATGAACGTTTACAACACTGTCTACTACTACTTAAGACCATGTCCTATCTAAACCAACTATACTTCCTGATTTAGTTTTTAGTGTTTTATGCTCTATAAATAATATTCTGTGTAAAATTAGAAAGGAAAATGTGTATACAGTACTTTCTAGGAACTTTATCTGATATAAATAGCAAATCTATTTCTGAAAACAACTGCCTTGCAAAACAGAACCTCTTTTGAGGTAGGGCTATTTTCCCTCATTTTAATAATGAAGAAAATTTTTCTTTTTATTTACATATATAATTTTATTTGAACTATTATTATTTTATTTTATTTTATTTTTTTGTGATATGGTCTTACTCCTGTGTTATCTAGGCTGGATTGCAGTGCTGTGATCAAGGCTCACTACGACCTTGAACTCCTGGCCTCAAGTGATCCTCCCACCTCAGCCTCCCCAAGTGCTGGGATTACAGGCATAAGCCACTGTGTTTGGCCTTAATATACTAGAGATGTGGCGAGAAGATTTGGCTTCATCTTCCTACTTTATCACATATTATCGCCAAAATAACAAACGCTGCATAATGCAAAATAGCCACCTTATTTCAATCATGGGAATGTCTTGGCACACTGCTGGCAATGGAAACATTTTATGGTGAGAAAATTAAGCCGAGGCAAGTGCATTAGTTAGCTAATGCTAAAATAAAATTGACAAGTAGAAGCAAAATAAGGGGAAAAAAAGCAGCAACACCTTCTGCAGCCTTTAAATATTTTTCTCTCTGCTTTACAGAGAGATGCTACCTCATTCACCTTGATTTCGACCCACGAGATCTCGAACGTTCTCTGGAACTGGAACGAGATCTTGACTGCGAACTGGAAGAACTTCTTGAACGGGACCTGGAACAACACGGAAGGATTTTTTTTTCCAGGACCATTTAATTGAACTTTGTGATATGAACACTGAAAGAAAAATAGTTATTAGAGTTCATTTTCATATAAAAAGATAACTATACAAGATACATACTTTCGAAACACTATTTTAAATAAGCTTTTTTAATAACAAAAGATAATTAAAAAATAACTATCACTTTCCAAGTGATGAAATTACCCTAAAGCCACTCAACTGTACAAATAAAACATTGAGTATTATCACCTTATTACAAAAACACTGAATACTTTCTGTTTACAAGTAATTAATAAAAAGCTACCCAGAACTAATACATCCAAGAAACAGAATGTGGCAGTTTTTACTTAATTTCTCTAAAATGTCTCATCATTTTCCTTTATAAATTCCATTCTATTTCTGTTTCTAGTTAGTACAATGCTTTGAAGGTTGGCATGCGTGTATTTCATCCCTGTATTTTTCTGTATACTCAATGCTTAGAGAATTAAAGGAAGAATATATAATTCTGTCACTGTTAGACAATTACATTTTTGGAAAACATGACACAAAGGGAAATATATTTGGTCTATACTAATTTTAAAATCCACAAAATTCATTAATCTAATTTGCAACTATAATTTGTCCCTTATAATCATAACCTGCAGAAAAAGATCACTATATTTTTACCACGAAATTACTAGTTATAGCCCCACTTCCTTAAGCTCTCAGGCTCTGTTGTGCTCAATTAACACATATCTAGTTGTTATATACTAATAGCTAATATTTTATTCCTAAATATGATTAAAATTGCCCATGCCATCAATTAACTGTGATTAAGGTTTTTTAAGAGGACTCTGTTAATTTAAATCACTATTTTCACTCACCTAAAATTTTATTTTTATTGTTAACTATAAAATCAGAGATTACATATTTTATATCAACAAACAAAAGAATATTCAAGTACACCAACTGAGTCCTCTATTTAGTTTACTCCTGGACATCTCAAAATTAAGAGCATTTAGTCAACAGAACTAATATGGCTGAATTTGCTCCTTTATTCAGAATACTGATACCAAAGCAAACTATTAAAATACCGTGTAACAAGCAATGATTTAATTAATACCTAGCAAATTTCTGTGCTAGCCTCCAACATCTTGAATGGAAATACAGATCTTCCTTTAATTTCTAAATGTAAGCTATCTCTTTGGCTTAATTAAATATAAGTGTATGTAAGGATTTAATTCAGTTTTTAAGTCTATTTTAGTCAAAAGCATGAGGCCAAAATACGTTAAGGTTCATGCCAAGACTTTACATTTCTAAAAATACTGGACAACAGGTGTATGGCACTAAGCTAAAAAATTATTTAAATGTTGACTTGAATTAAATTTTTTAAATTAAAAGGAAATTTTATTTTGTCAAGAAAAACAAAATTTATAAATAAAAAAGTTAGATACTGACATTTTGACTGGTGTTACCCTTGACCTGTACCCGTTTACCTGGACCTAGACCTTGAACTTGAGGGGGAGGATGAGCGTGATGAAGATCGTGAATGTGAAGACCGAGACTTTGAGCGACTTCGTCTATTAGATTTCTTTTTATTACTATCTTCTTCTTCACTGGCATCAAGATTATATTTTGAGAGATCAGCATCATCTTCATCCTCATCCTAACAAAAATTCAATTATAAGTAGACATTTAGATATTAGTGTTACCTACCAGAAAAGATAAAACAGCTAAGTGTACTAAACACCTCCATATGTATGTATCACAGGTATCTCAGCAAATTCATTCTGAATTCTAAAATTCAGCTACTAAACTCACCTCAAAGAAATTTGACAACTTTATCTCGGGTATTGCAGACATAAACCTGGAGGTTATACACACTTTTTCTGTCACACATAGTGTAACAACCCCATTACTTAAAAATTTTCAAGTCTACCTCCTTAAAAGTCCTTGAATCCACAACTCTTAATCTTAGTTAGAAACTCTGTTCCTTCTTTTCTAGTATATTACAGTAACCTCTTATCTGGTCTCCTCAAATCTGAAGATCCATTCTGCCTCTCTAATATCTCAACAAACTGAGTCATCAGAAACATTGGCCAGATAAATATATCTTACTTTTTTCTTAAAAACTTTAAAACTGGCTTATTATTTCTCTGGTTACATTTCAGAATCTCTTATGATCAGGCTCCAAGGTACCCTTAATATGGCATAAAACTTACACTCTGGCCTGACAGAATAAGTATTACTGGAATTGTGTGCTGTCCCCCTTATCTCATTCTCCCCTCTGCTCTAACTGTACTAGCCTATGTATGGTATTTTTGAAGGCTGCTGGCTTATTTCCTATTTAGGGAACCTGTATTTGCTGTTTTCTGCCTCAATGTGCTCTCATCTCAGCTCTTACAGGTGGCTCCTCCCTATCATTCAAGTTTCAGCACAAACTTCACCTCCTCAGACATTAACCTTCAGCAAAAACCAAAGTTGCTTTTAAACTGTTATTACATCATGTGCCTTCATAACATTATTGCTATCAAAATTATCTTTTTTATTTATATCTTCCCTCCACTAGAATTGAGTTAAGAGAAAGGTGGTTCTGTTTTGGTCACTACCGTATCTCCAGAACAACAGTGTTCCAAGTACAAATAGTACTTGGCAAAGCGGGAACTCAAAACCTTTGTGAGAACAAAGGAAAACACAGAATATATTTTAACCAAGTGTCTAAGATTGTCAAAAGCATTCGGGTTATGGTATAACTCAAATAAGACAAAGGGGAAATAAGTCAAGAAAGTTGTTCACCTCATCTAATTTATATTTAGAAAGATCTTCATCCTCATCCTCTTCTTCTCCCTCTGATTCTTTATCTTCAACTTCCTTTAATATAGATGCAGGACCAACTGCTTTCCCTCTGTATTTTTTCTTTTTGCGTCCAAACTGGAGAAAAACAATTTCAAAATATTTGTCAGCTGATAATGCATTAAACCCAATGCATTTTTCTAAAAAATTATTTTTAGATATTAGTTTTGATTCCCTGAAAATGATCAGTTGCTGAAGACTCAAATTGCACTTACAAAAATAAAGTATGTTTAAAAGTTTTCCTTTGCATTTAAGAAATTTTTCTATCATTTTTTTTCTAATTTATATTTAACCTGAACACCAACACATAGCTTACCTCATCATATTCACCATCAGATTCTTCTCTTTCTATATATTCAACATTTTCTCTTTCATTAAAACCACCACCATATCCTTAAAAAAGAGGGCACAAATTGTTACCCTATGACAATTCATTTAAATACTAAACACATCATACCCAAATAATCTCCAAACAACAAAAAATCTAATCAACAACAGCTGCCTATCCATTTAATAAATTACCAGTCTTTAAGAAAGCATACTAGAAATGACCACAGAAAATAAAGATAACTTAGTTGGAACATCATATGGCTATACTTCTAGCTTTTTTCAACTTCAAATTGTCCTATATGACTCATTAAATTCATAGAACGTACTAGTGGAAAACATCTCAAACTTCTGCTATAACCAAGTTTTAAAGGGCTTTCCTCTACAGTTTCTCGTAATTCTTCTGGAAACAGTAGGCTCATTAACAACTAAGCATTAAATTCCACTGTTTACCAGTTGCAAATATTCTGAAAAATCTTCTGATACAATGAAATTTTGCTACTTTAAAATGTAGTGGGCCTTATTAGAGCTTGGAAAAGTCCTAATTACATAGGCAAATACAGTAACACAATAAAGGCCATCGTTTGGCCTTGGTTAAATTGGTTTTAATGTTTAATTGTTTTTTAACACATAGGTAAAGGTCACACAGGTTCTCTGAATTAGCCAGTAAATTTTGAAACTAAATCATTCTATTAAAAAGCAGTTGAGATTAGCAAACCACTATTCTCTCATAACCAATGTATACGATTCAATTGGCAAGTTTCTGACATAAGCTTAAAGGAGAGGCTAGAATTTAAAAAATGAACTAGTTTTAGGAAAAGTGAGCTGACATATTATGAAAAAGTCTCCCATGGAAAATTAAAGAAGTATGTGTTGATCAAGAGTAATACAATCTAACTGGTCACATATTCCAGTGCAGTATCAGCACATAAGGCCAGTGATTTCTAGACTTAAAGACTTCATTAGTCAGCAAAATTCTAAATAGATTTATAATACAAAGTTTTTTAAATAAAAATTAGGACTTGTAACTTAAAATTTGCCTATCATTAGCATTTTAAAAATCTTTTTACAATTTCACTTTCTGGAAAAAAAAAAAAACGCACACTAATATGACATATTTTCTTCATTATACTAGTGAAAACTTCAAAATACTTGGAAGTTAGTATTTTTAAACATACGTGGGATCTAGAGAAATAATTTACAGAGAAAAAAACTGAAAAGTAATGACAAATATGGAGAGCTCAAAAATATAGTAAGATGAGAAAGTGAACTGTAACTCACATAACTTATTTTTCAAAAGTATGTAAATAAAATTATTTTCAAATGAGTATCACAGCTAATACAGAACAATTTTCACATTTTCTCATACAAGCCACAGAAAAAAACAGCAAAATGGTTGACAACAAAGGCATTAGTAAGGTATGTTTTATGAACCCAGGCCATATAAAGCTAGCTCATTAACTCTTTCCCTACAAATGGGAAATACACTAGTTCCCTATGATGAAAAAACTGAAGCATATAATTTTCACTTAATATCTGAGATAGTGGAATCAATGGAATGCTATGTTTCCTTCATTCTACCGATTTAAAGCAATGCAGGTAATGCTGTATAAATTGGTTTCTTATTTCCACTCTTGCCACCACCTCTCCTAATTTCTGCTCCACAAACCAGAAAGACGAGTGTTTAATTCATCCCTGGGTAACTCATCTTTCACTCTTAGTTTAAGCATAAGCTTTGTAAAAGAGGACTTCATTTCATTGGTGCTGTAAATTATTTTGCTCACCCAGGTATCCCCAAGACCTTGCACAGTGGCCTACGAATATGTCTTCAAGGAATGAATACAGAAAACACAATTCTGGAATCATTTAATGAATTTGAATTTCTTTGGAAGGCTTTAAAAAGCAACCATGAATTTCTGTAGATTTTAGTGTCTTACAATGAATGTATTTTCAAATTTGTCTCACAGTAGGATGTAAAAAGCTGAGGAAGGGCCAGGAAAGAATCAAACACAGGTTTAAAATGATTGTTTGGATCAGGATTGTGACAATGGGAAAAAAGAGGAAAGAGGGGATGAATAAAACATGTACTTCAAAGGAAGAACTAAGGCCTAACAGGAAAATTCTGTGACTCTATACTCTGAACAATTAATTTAACTCCTGATAACTTATTCTAAGGAAATAATCCAAAAGAATAAAAATTACAATGCACTAAAATTGTTTTTGTGCCATTATATTTAATTTTTTTTTAAAAGAAAGCTGACAAAAACAATAATAACCCTAAATCCTGAAACAGGAAGAGTAAATTACTGAACAATTTGATGGAATTATGCAGAAAAAGCCAGCTATCTTTCAGAGGTAGTGAATCACATTCCCTTTTATTCATATCCTGTCTCATGCTTAGGAAATGCTCCCTGAACCCTGTACTGCTTTATTACAAATAGCCAAAAGAAATTGGAAAGCAACAGAGTAAGTTATTTCACACCTTCAACTGTTACCAGCAAAGACAAATACTTGTAGCTAAGTAAGTGGGAAAGGTTCAAGACAGCAAAAAACAAAGAAGAGTGAGGATTTATCACTATAAAATTTGCTTACTTCTCTGTTAAACTATAGTTCTTGTGATAATGAAACTATAAAGGAGTCAGGAAATAGGTCAAGGAGAATGTGAAAAGAGAAAGTTTTTTTTTTTTTTTTTTTAAATTTTGAAACTGTTAAAAAGATTTTAGACTTTATCCCAAAAGCAATCAAAATGGGTTTTTAAAAAAGGGAGTTTTAAATTTGGAAATAACCCATATGCAGAAACCACCTAGGTGGCTATTTTTCCATAAAACATAATATCTTTGCCTAGGGTGGTAATGGAAAAGAATTTTTTGAGTATGGGAGATACCAAGAAAGAGCTATCTAGGCTAAGATTTCCACCTTATATAACAAATGTATGGTGAGTGGTACTAATCATGAGAAAGAGATAATTGGAAGAGGGTCAGGTCCCAGGGGGAAATTCACAAATTCAGTTTGAATATAATGAGTTTGACATTTGCCTGGCAATGTTGAACAGGCAGCTGGATATATGGGTCAGAGAAATCTGAAGTGGAGACATAAACTTGGGCATCATGCAAAGTTACTTAAACCTTGCGCTTAGAAGAAAACACCTAGAAAATAGAGGGAAAAAAAGAGGGCCAGAGATGGCCACGAAGAATCTCAACATCAGTGACCAAAAGAAGAGAAACCTACAAAGGAGACAGAATATACAAACAATAAAAGGTGGGGAGGCGGGATGCATACCTTCAGTGAGGGGAAGAAAAAAAGGAGATCCTTGTCAGAAGACCTTAACCTACCCCATCAGCGGAAAGGCAAAATCACTTCCTAAGAATAAGGTAGGATTTGAGGGTTGAAAATGGAAACAAAAAAATCTAGGACATTATGTTATAATGTTTCCTCATATGAGAATGTAATTTTTTAAAAAGGAATGGGGGGGAATAAAAATAGAATTTCTGTTGAAGTCTAGTAGAGCCAGGTCAAAAAGATTCAACAGTGGCCCTCTGATCCCTAGAAGCTAAATAGACAGTGAAAATGGCCTAAAGTTAGAGAGGCAAAGAAAACAGGAAAGTAATTCACCAAGTATAAGTCTGATAGGGTGACTACATATAGATGGAATCCTTTGATCATGTGACATATGAGCAGCTGAATGACAAAATCAGATTTGAAGTATACAGCTAATGTGGTTGGGCTAATTGCTGATAATGGAAAACTATATGCTATCAGGTAAACATTTTCATCTCACCAGTAACACACACAGTTATCAGCTATTATTTAGGCCAATGATTACTAAACACTATCCAAACAACCTGAAGATTTTGGAAACTTACCGCCAAATAACTTTAACAGTTCTGCACTTTACAATCTGTATTTTAAAAAGTTTCTCAGATGATCCTAACGCATAGCTAAGTTTCAGAATTATTGCCTAAGCTTTAGAAGAACTTTAAATAGTGTGGCTTTGCCCTTTAAGTCACAGCAGGCTATAAAAAGAATTAAAAAATGATATCATTACATCATTACTAACAACAAACAGGTAAACCACTATAAGGGAAAGGAGGAGAATATTCTAAAAGTATTATGACTCTCCTTGTTAGGGTAGAGGTCTTTAATACTGTGATTTTATAAATTGTGAAACAAAAAATTTGTATGTGTAATGGGGGAGAAAACCCCAGTAAGAAACATTCAGTGCAGAATACACAAAATCCTCACTTACTGTGCTTTTAATCGAAGGTGACACAATTATTGTTTCAACATTTAGTTCTTTAAAAAAAATTACTTAGTTAAAATGTGGTTGTGCCGTACCTGTTCTTTCTTCTAATTTAGCATACTTTGGAGTATTACACATATTACACTCTGATCTTCTGGCCCAATTCACATTGCTGCAACTTTAGAAGTGAAAAATATCAAATTAGCAGGCTATAACATAGGTGAATATCATATTTTTAGATATTTTAGAATTTTAAAATAAAAACTACGATGAAACTATCATAAAGAAATGTTTACTAAGCGGTAATGTAAACAAAGAAAATGTACAATGGTCTGAAGAGTAAATGTGGGTTTCAACAACAAAGTGAACCATTTAACCAGAGAAGCAAAATTTATGCAGTATGAAGTGCCTTTGTAATTTTGAGAATTAAACGATCAACTATAACCACAGGTCAAGTATCACTAATCCACAAATCCAAAATTCAAAAAGTTTCCAAAATCTAAAACTTTTTGGAAGAGGACATGACACTCAATAGAAATGCTCACTGTAGCATTTCAGATTTTCAGATTAGGGATGCTGAGCCCACGAACATTTCAGGTAAGTGATACTGAACCAGTATAGAAATTCTGATGCCTTATGAAAAAATATCACTTTAAATTAAAGGTTCCAATAATTTCTCAGTCTCTGAATTTACCTTAAAGAGTATGGTTATATCCTATACATAATGTTAATTTTTTTTTTTTTTTGAGGAATCACTTCAAGCACTGAATTCCACAGCATACCAAATCCAGTGACCAAATCTCTTGCTGGAAACTTTCCAATACAAATTTATAATCTAGCAGATCAGAAATTATTTAAGACTTTCTTGTCGGGAATAGTGGCTCATGCCTTGCCTGTAATCCCAGCACTTTGGGAGGCCAAGACAGGCAGAATGCTTGAGCTTAGGAGTTCGAATCCTGGGCAACACGGTAAAATTGTCTCTACCAAAACTACAAAAAATGAGCCAGGCATGGTGGCGCGCCTGTGGTCCCAAGCTACTCAGGAGGCTGAGGTAGGAGGACTGCTTGAGCCCAGAAGGTAGAGGTTACAGTGAGCTGAGATCGCCCCACAGCACTCCAGCCTGGGTGGCTGACTGGGACCCCATCTCAAAAACAAAAAACATGAAACAAAAAATACAAACGAACAAAAGGCAAATTTATTTAATACTCTTTTCTGATTTAGTCCTCTTTCAAACCCATGGGATCCATCTGCATAGAGAAAAGATGGAAGTTGGAAAAATCAATAAAGAATTGGATTAAATCTAAACCTGAAAATAAAAATCATTATGAAACCTACCTATAATTAGGAATAATTACTTATGGCACACAACTTATGACTCTGACATCATTTTGTAAACAGGTAAAATGAGTTTTGTGGTGTATTTCACACTAACAATACAGTCTAAAAATTTGGGGAATTTTTCAATAACAAAGAAGTAGGCCTTAGTACTTTTAAGTACTGCCACCCTGCAACTGGCTGTTAGCTCACCATAAGTATTTGTTTACCGGCATATACAATCCATCATAGTAACAACTATTACCATTCAAAAATGCAAAGAATAATTTAAAATGTCTTTATATTACACTTAAAGATGAGACTGAATAACAATCAACAAACTTTTGATTTAAAGGGTTACCCTGGTTTGTCAATGTGGCTAATTAGAGCTGGTAACATCAACAAGCAATGGCCAGATCTATTATTTTGGAATAAAGAGCAGACAATTCAAAACACATACGTTTTACACTGCCAGTCATTGGCACTAAATAGGCCTCGGCTCTTTTCTGCAAGTGTCTTTCCTATTTCAGTGCCCCCAGCTTTCATCATCTTGGCCTCAGTTGTCTTCTCTGAAAACAGAAAAATCATGAAAGATGAACATGGAGAAACAAAGAAATGAAGTATATACAGTATAAACAGACTCTTTCCTTAAATACTTACCGCGACCACATCGATTACAACTGGTTCTTCTAGCAAAGTTTACATTTCCACATCTGAAATAGAATAAAAAGCATTTATAAAAATTTAAATTTGTAAAATCTTGCATTTTAATGTGTCCTCACTACATATCTGGAATCCAGAACTTCTAATCCATCTTAGTCATGTTAATGTCAATGTTACCTACCAAATAACTCCTCACAATTTAGAAATCCCAATCTACCATTTACCAGTTATGTGGTCTTGGTTACATTACTTAGGATCTTTCCCTCAAGTCCTCACATTAGCATATATCATTAGTTATAATCTCTTTATAAAGTTGGAAGTGAGTTTACTTCAGTAATTACTTATAAGGTATTAGCGAGTTTTAAACTCTAGGAGTGGACGAATGAGGAATAAACCCTACAAATCAAGGAGGGCCTCATGGATCTTACTGGAATTATCTTTTTGCAGGTAGCAGGTAGAATGGTAAGGAATCAAAGATGATAGGTTGTAGTGACTAAAAACAGAAAAACGTTCTATAATTGTAAGTAAACTGAGTTTTACAGGGCATTTCTCCAACCTGAGAAAAGTGACACAACCACCAAAACCAATCAACTCACGTAGTATGGCATGACTTTATGCTTATGCTCAATGAACTCAAACCTAAAGAATTACTGGTTCACTCACATGACCTCAGTAGTGCACGTGCACACACTTAAATTTTTAAAGGCTGATTTTTAAAGTCTTATACTAGAATACAACACAGATGTGAAATATGTGATGCAACACTCTAAATAACGTTTAGGCTAAGTTTTTCCCCTAAAAATATTCCTTATGACTCCATTAAGTATGGAAAATATACTCTGAAAATATCTCCTGGATTTACACATCTTGTACAAGCAACATTTTATTCATATATTTGTAAATGAGTTAAAATGCACTCTCCTTGATTCCTACCTCAAATATCTACCTGTGCTGTCATTAAAGACATTGACAAAAGCACATTATTTTACAGGTAACAACAAAAGTCAGAAGTTGTTGTTCTTTTGAACGTTTTCAATATTGTCTTTCCACTCAGAGCAATGTTATTCACAACATATAACTTTGGTTCTATTCAATATCATTTGTTAGGCTTGAATTATTCCTTCAGGTCATCTTAATATCAAATTACTATCAATAACTACCAATTAGAATTCGTCACTGTTTGCATACCGTATCCAGTTATTTTATGTATTAATTATAAAAGAGCAATTCTATTCCTATTTTTTAGCAGTTAAATAGTAATAGAATTTTAATTAAACCCAGGTTTGTTCCAAAGTTTTTGCTGTTTAGAATCAAAACACCTTTATGGCTAATTTAGGTACAAGAAATAAAAGTTTTTATCTGAACATGAGTTGTACATTAAATTATTTTCCATGTTATTTCTGAATAGATACACCTATTTCTGCACCCTTCAAAAAAAATCTGATTAACAATTTAACAGAGTACATTGGCTTCCGCAACGATGTCAAAAAGCAGAGCCACTAACACATGTGCTTCACTGCTGCAGGCATCTTAAGGGCTGAATAGGCAAAAACACAGGCCTCTTCTCTCCTTTTCGGCTCTAAGGAGGGGAAAAGCCCAATTCTTGTGGAGAAATTAATGATCGACAAAGAAAATGGTCAGAATTTCCCAAACCAAAGAGAGGTAGAGCTTGGGGAAACGGGAAAAATACTACGGAGGAAAAGTTTGAGTAAAAATACAAAACAAGGTGAACTATAAGAGGCAAACGGACGAGTGCGAGAAAGCACTATTTTCCGTGAACAAGAATAAAGTTCTGCAGGGAAAAGTCACGTGGGGGAGATCTAACACCAAGCTGGCCTGACGGAGAGATTTCCTATCGCTGAAACCTGGCCGGGGCGGGGGTGGGGTGTGGGGGCAAAAAGGTAGGCCATCTCGCACTCTAAAGAGAGGCCACCTTGGAGAGGTAATGTCGAGGAAACGCTGGAGACAGATCTAAAACAAAGACTCCGGGAAAGACCTCACTCATGAGGAGACGGGGAGCCTTCCTCCCGCCCAGGAACTGGCGGCTCGCCGCCTCAACCCTTCTTAAGGCACGGGAAATCACAGAAAAAGGAAAATACCCAACGGAACTGGGAAAGCCTCCACTAATAAACTTCGCCTCAATTCAGGACCCTTCTTGAACTCACTTTTTGTCAGGGCAAATCCAGTCCCCGTCACTGACTCGGAAATTCTTGGTCGACATCTTGAACGCCACCAGCACAGCCACCCGCAACTATGTCTTCACGGGAGAAAGCGGGCCGGGGACTTTCGGCAACTCGGGGCTGTCCCGACACCGCCTGACTCCCGCCTACTACTGCGTCAGGGTTTGACAATGAAGGCACTGGTCAGGAAATCAGCTTGAACATTGTTGTCCAGACTAAGAGGCCTGCGCTATTATTTCTTAGATGAAAAAGTTAAAATACAAATACCTTTTCTAGGACTAAACTAACAGGCGCCACAAGGACAACCCAGGCAGGAGGCCTTCGTGGCACTAGAAGCCTCGGAGAGCCCCCTACAGGTGGGAGGACCCTAGAGTAAAGTACTTCCGCTTCCATAGGCGGAGCTGGAAAAGTGGAGGCGGAAGTGACTGATCAATTCAGGGGCGTGAGGTTCGTTTGTCTCCAAGAGTTTTTAGAGAAATTATTTTACTAAGGCACAAGAATTCTGTTATTTCATACACATAGGATATCGTTTAGAAACCTTTTTTTAAAATACATAAATAGGTGTAACAGATAAGTAAGCAACATATACGTGGGAACCAACTGGTAATTTAAAAACTGAGATATTGCCACCATTGTTTAAATTACCAGTGTCTTTCCTGATTCCATCCCATTACTTTCTTCCAGAGATAATATTTCCCCATATTTGGGATTTATTTTCTTGCTTTTTAAAAATTTAATTTGTGTACATTGTTAGTCCAAACTGCACCATTTTTGTAAGCCCCCCTTGCCATTTTACAGGCCTTAGTCAAATTGAAACATTCCACGAGGTGGTGAAAAACAGCCTGCCTCTTATTATATTCTGCTGGGAGAAAGTGCAAAGAACACCACATCCTGGGAACACTTATGGACATTTTCCCATGCAGCAGGCCATGGGCCCCCAGACCACTCCAACCTAGGCCTATAAATCACCCCAGCCTGTAAGTAGCAGTGGGCACTGGCATTAAGCTGGCTTCCCACCTCTGTAAGTCGTATGCTGGTTATAAAGCCTGCGTTTGCTGTTAAGCCACCTTCTCTTTCTTTAACACTGGCCTTCCTTTCAGAACCTAACATACATGTATGTTTAATTTGATGAGCTGTATCAGCATAGTTGGTTATGGACTCTTTTTTGTTCATGCAGCATTATGCTTCTAAATTAATCCTAGGTAATGGCATGTGGAAGTGTATAGGTGTAGTTCTGTTATTTTCACTGATGTATACTGGTAATACTCCTTGTGACAGTTTATTCCTTCTGTTTACCAGACTTGGTTTTACAAACAACCCTAGTATGAGCATTCTTATGCATAGATTATAATATATAAATACAATATATTTTTTAGAATACAGCATATGCAGTCATGCCTCACTTAATGATAAGGATATGTTCTGAGAAATGCCACCTTCCTCAATTTTGCTGTTGTCTGAATATCATAGAATGTACTTACACAGGCCTAGCAGATAGAGCCTACCATACACCTAGGCTATATGGTATAGCCTATTGCAGCTAAGCTACAAACCTGTATAACATTTTGTTGTGCTGAATACTGTAGGCAATTGTAACACAGTATTTGTGTATCTAAACATAAAAAAGGTACGGTAAAAATATGGTATTATAATCTTACAGGACTACCTTTGTATATGTGATTCATCATTGACTGAAATGTCTTTATGCAAGTGTGACTATATTTAGGAGAGGAATTGTTCAACTACTTTCTAGTTATAATTGTTGCTTTAAAATCTGTATTATAACATTTTGGTTATCTAGGAGTTGGCAGATATTGATTATTCTTCCCTTGCAAGTTGGGCACATTTTTCCATTTCTTTTATGCTGTGTAATTATAGATTTTATCCAGGACATTTTGAATATTATGTTGCATAGACTGAGTCCTGTTAAACGGCTTTGAGGAATGTTGCTTTTTATTTTGTTTTAGGAGGCAATTGATTGAATTTGTTTCAGGTCAAAAGTTCAGTCTCATCTTCTATGAGTACTGGTTCCATATCAGCTGGGTTTTCAAAGGCTTTGTTATGCTGCTTTGGGTCTATCCTATACCTACAACACTGAGTGATTATTTAGGGATGTTAGCAATAGTTTAATGTGAAATTCAGTTTTGCTATGCTATTTTGTGTCTGTCCTGCACATGTTCAGTTTAGGTGTGAACACAGAACTGTATGGGTTCATACATAGAATTAGGGGATCCTCTTCTCTAGCTCTCTGCTCTTACATTCCTCTCCCTTTGTCTTGCAAGATCCTCTGGCCAGAAATATGAGGTTCCTCTTGGAGTTGTAGCCACCTGGCGTAGCAGATGACTAGGGCAGATTCTGAGACAAAGTAGTGAGAGAAAAGAGAGAGGAAAAAATGTGGATTCCCTCTACAACTCTTCAAACCACAAAGGCCTCCTTTCCCACTTCCTTTGTCCAGAAAAACAGAGCTTCTTTTAGTATTTAGATGTCCAAGCCTAGTCCCTCACTCTTGGGACAATGCCGAGAGAGAGAAAGAGAGAGAGAGAGAGAGAGAGAAATGTAAAAAAAATTAAGTATTCCCCCCAATAACTTCTGTCCCACAAAAGCCTTCTATCCCCATTCATCTGGCAAGAAATACAGGTTTCTGTCAGTTTTTGCTGCCACCATAGTTTCACTAGGTGTCAGGCCTCAAGTCAAAAGCTGTGAGAAAAGAGAAAAAGCAAATACACAGAATATTTCTCCAGGTTTTCACTTTCCACTCCAGTTTACCTGTTTTTGTTTGTTTGTTTGTTTGTTTGTTTTTCCAGAGTCTTCAGGTAGTTGCTTTTGGTATTTTTTTCTTGAGTTTCTCACTGTAATCATTAGGAAGGATAGGTTATTGTGGGCTTACTATGTCTTGGTTGGTACCACAAGTCAGAGGAATGCAAATTAAAACCATGTGATACCATTATGCATTCATCAAACTGACTTAAATGAAAAATTCAGACAACACTAAGTGTCGGAAAGCATGTACAGCAAGTGAAATTCCCATACATTGCTGGTGGAAGTATTAGTTGATACATCTACTTTGGAAAATGTCGGAATCTGTTAATCTGAACATTTTTATACACTATCACCCTGAAATTCCATTCTTAGGCATATTCCCAACAGGAATGCACATAATGTTCACTGAAGATGTATACAATAATGTTCATAGCTGTACTATTCAAAATAGCCCAAACTGGAAGCTTCTCAATTGCTTAGCAGTGGTAGCCTGGATAAATAAATAGTCACATATTTACACAGTTGGAATGCTATATACAGTAACAAGAATAACAAATTACAATCACATTATTGAACAGTATTTATTTCACTCACAAATACAGTCTTAATTGAAAAAGAAGCCAGACACAAAATGGCATATGCTATATGATTCCATTTACATGAAATTCAAAAGCAGCAAAACTAATCTTGGATAGTGATCACCCTTGGGAGTAGGGAGAAGGTAGTGACTTGATGGTGTCAATAGGAATAAAAGATGCCAGAGCTGGTAAATGACATGCAGTTGATGCAACAACAGTTATTCAACTGTACTAACTGTAGTTAGTAAAATTTTTCTGGGAGAATTATGTGTCAAGAGAAAAACGCTCTATACTAAGTCTGGGATAACAATGAACAATATGCATGAATACATCTGATAATGGTCAGAAGAGGTTATTTGAGTTCAAGGACTATAGCTGAGTTTTCAAAGAGGAATATTTCTACAGAAGGAATTTCTTCCAGCTATCCTAATTTGAAAGAAAAAATCTACCCGTTCTTTTTATTCTGATTATATGCTCACCAAACAGCCCTCTAATAATTTGTCTCCTCTCCTGAACATACTTAACCTTCCATGGTGAAATACCCAGAGTGAATCTATCCATACGAGTTATTCTTCTGGATTAAGCTCTCTTTTTAGATTAATAAATTGGCATCCTGAAATGCCTATCAGTTGTTTATGGGTCCTCTTAACATGTTGGTCCCCAGGAAATAGCTCTGGTGGAAGTGGTAAAGTTGAGTTTCTGAACCTACAAAGCTAAGAATCTGGCTCTAAATATTGTAATAGAGCTTATTCTACTTGCAAGTAACAAAAATAAACATAAAATGACTTAAATAACAAGAAAGGTGAGCATATTATAAAGGGAAGGTGATGTTTGATGGAATGCCAGAGCAGGAGTGCAGTAGTTCCAGAAAGAGCCTAAAAGAAACTATCCTGTATTCAAGCAGCACACTTTCTCTGTCTCTTTGCTATACACATTATTCTTTCCTCAGAGTAGCTTTTCTGTTACTTAGTTCAGAAGTCAAAATCAATACTGCTGTTAGACCTGGGCAACCAGGGCTCTTAACCTGGTCCTGCACCTGGCCTTCCTTGAGATGCCCTAATTCCCCTCGGGTGTCTTGGACCATCCAGCAGGACTCCTGGAGCCAAAATATAGTACCATGTAGGTCCTGGACAATGGAAGTCCTAAGATGTTCTATTGCTCTTGGTGGTGGGGACCAGCCAGGTCAACAGGACCTGTTGGGTGGGACACCCTAAGCCTAGAAAAAATGTTATTGCCTCCTTTGTTTCTTCCATTCAGGCCCTCCTGACCATACTGCCATCTTACCATACTTGGGGTCCACAAGTACCCCAGGGTCTCTGGGACTAGCACCTGTAGGGTGGCCTAGGACTGGGTGGCCCTGCCAGTTCCTAGAGTGCAACTTTGGGAGACAAAGCTTCCACTGGATGGGGCATTATTTATTTCATGGGATCTCCTAAGTTTGGTCCACCGAAGGATGCTTCTTCACTGGTTTGAGAGTGATTTTCACTAGTATCAGACACAGGATGAGTTCAGTGCTCTGGGCTACCACTGTCCAGCATGGATCCGTGGTCTGGAGCTCACCATGTGAGCCAGTATGTGGGCTCATCCCTGACTGGTCAGACCAAGGAGCCACCTCTAGTGGAGAGCACTTGAAAGAGGTATTTGTGTCTGCAGACATCCTTTATTCTGGGGTCTCCTGCCCTCACCCTGCTGATGGCACTAGGGCAGTCATACCACCCCTCTGCAAGCTCTGTGCCACATATCAGACACTACTTATCATGGCAATGCTTGCCTCCTTTCAGGGCTTTTGAGACTGTAACAATACAAAGCCAATGGTCCATTTCAATCAATGTCCTTTCTTTCTTCTAATCAACATGGTGAGAACCTGCACTGGATTGGTCTTAAGCCCTGTTGAACAAGTGATGGACATTGGTTGCCCAAATGGGATGGCTCCTTTTGTCTATCCAGGGCTCCTCATCTGTCTTCACCACTGATAACTATATGTGGAAGGCAGGGCTGCAGCCAACCTTAAAAGGGTCACATTCTAGGGAGGCAGTCATTAAGGTCTAGATGATTCAAGAGAGAACATGGTTGAGAGATGTCCTATTTTATGTTAATGCAGTAAGTTCT